CCCCGCCGCCCGCCCGCCTGCCTCTCACGGTGTCTCTCCGTCTCTCCCCGCCCGCTGGACCCCGACCCTGACCCGACCCCAGCAGAAGATAAGCAGGTAGGTCCGCTTCGCCGCTCAGCCAGCTGGCTGTCACCCATTGTGGCTCCCGCGCCGCCAGCGCCCAGGCGCGACCCCGCCCCCGGCAGATAGACGGTCCGGTGGGGATAACCGATTGTCAGCCTGGCTGGCGTTGCCGCCTCGCCCCGGGCTGCGGAGGGGAGGAGCGGGTGCCTGTCCGGGCGGGAGGGGGCCTTGCTGACCCTCCCAGCATGCCCATGCGCCCTTTCCAGGGTGGGGAAATGGGCCGGGTGCCCTTCTACTGGTCCAGCGCCAGCATCTCCTCTCTGAACTGGTATGTAGGCCTGGTGCTGGGGGTCCTGAATCAGGTCACAGTCAGGTTGGCCCTCCGACTGGGGGAGGGGTCCTCTGTGTCCACCAGTCAGCACAGGGGTCCTGAGCTGCCCCACCCCACTGCTCTGCGTCTTATGCACTCCCTCCCCACTAGCCAATTTGAGCGGGTTGATCAGTGGTGGGACCTCTTCTCCAGACTGGGAGCTTACAGGGCCTGATCTGAATCATCCGGGTGCCCAATTCTATACTTCCACCCTAGTAGGTACAAATAGGCTTGTGGCCTCCCAAAGGGACTGGCCTGTTTCCACCCTCTGGAATGCCCAGAGGCTGGCCTGGGCACCACTGTGAAAACCCAGATGAGATTAGGAATAAACAAAGGGTGGGAGGGGGTGGATAGCAGAGTGGCAATGGGGGTAGGTAACCAAGTAGGCTGGGGGTTCTTGGTAGTGTTGCTGGGGGCCTATCAGCTTGAGCTCAACCATGTATGGATGTGGAAAGAAGGGCCTAACTCTGGCACCAGAATGAATGGAATCCTGGAGTCCTGACCCCCTCACTCCCTGCAGCAGGTAGAACAGGAGGAACCTGAAGATGGGTTTGGGGTCTGGAGTCACTGGCTCTGGTGTAGGGTGTATGCTCCGCCCTAAGATAGGTGAGGCTTTGTGGGCAAGCACTTGCCAACTTTGCCTTACCAGTGAGAAATTCCTGATCTTTGTGTGTCAGACAATGCAGGGGCACACTGTCAGGCTATTGGTTGAGGAAAATGGAGGGGAAACAGCCCTCACATCTTGTCATGGGCCTGCAGGCACTCAGAGACACTGGACCCAGCAAATGCTGTTCATCACTGCTCTTCCTCCCAGGTCTACTACTCGCCAGCCTTACTCATCCCCTTGCCATTAAGACAGAGGAAAATAGCATAGTGCAAGTGGTAGGACAGGGGCCCATAAATGGACCCAGGAGCCAAGTGTTGGGGAGCGAGGGGGACACCTTTGTGTTTGGGGTAAGCAGAAGCACATGATACTTTCAGTGGCATCATTGCTGGTACAGCCGAACCTCAGTTTACATACATTATGTGATGGAAGTGGGGAGGAGCTCTGGGGGTCCTCTCTGCCCTCCTCCCCATGCCCAACCCTTCTCAGCCAATGGTGGAAGCTCAGTCAGCTCTGGCTGCTGCTTCCAGAGCTGACTGTGGTAATTCTAAGAATGGAAATGCCTCGAGAGTTTCTCAGGCACCAGGAGGAGGTGGGCGCTGTATCTGTGGCTCAGGAAGCCCTGAGGGAGTATGTGTTGTGACTCAAGGGGACAGAGAAAGGAGGTGGCCCTGCCCCTCCTTGGGACTCCCCTAGGGAATCCATATGAGCTTTCTGGTGAGGGAATAGCCCTTGAGAGCTGGGAGCAAGACTCTTGCCCTCGTGACCTAAGCCTTTCAGAAGCTGTGCCTTACCAGTGGTGACACTGAAATGGTCTGGGCTCAACAAGCACAGTTAAAGCACCTCGCAGCCTCAGCTCCAGCTCTGTCTGTCTTTCTGGAGAGGCCCTGGGCCTGAGATGTCAGCCTGTCTGGGCTGGTGCCGGACTAAGAGGCAGGGTCTAAAGTGGACTGCAGCTGAAAGTTGAATGGGACTCAGCCTAGAGGCTTGCTGCAAGCCTGTGTGGCAGAGGGCTGGGCTAGTGAAGAGAATGTTTCTGAACAAGCACTGAGGACCCAACCAGGACTGGGGGCTTTGTGGTTTCCCCCACTCTCTGCTCAGATGAAAGGTTCTCCTCTTCCCTGCTATGGGCCCATCTAGGTTGTCCAAGTCCCACAGAAGGATCTTGAGCCTGGACAGGGGGAAAGTGGCCCCCTCAACCAGGATAGCCAAAAAGGGAGGGCCTAGGTAGGGGTGAATTTGCCTCCTTTTCCTCTGACATAATCCTATAGGGTTACTTCTCTTTATACGCCTGCTCCTTTCCCAGCCTCTTTTATGCTGGTTGGTGCTGGCTTGTTTAGACTCTGGTGTGGGCCAAGAGAGGGGTGGGTGAGAAAGGACTTGGCAGCTCATGAGACCCCTGTGGTCCATGGGGTGGCTACATGGGGCTGAGAACTAAGCTGGCTGGAGCTCTCCAGTAAGCTGTTGCCCAGTCCTGTGAGTCAGTGCAGGCTGGAAGCTCAAAGGGACAGCCCAACTTAAGGGGCTCTGCTGCACCCCCAATTCTGCCCATCCCCACCTCTCCTGCCTGTGGCTATTAGGAACCAGTAGTGAGGGCTCATGGTTGATCAGCAAGTTTGTGAAGCCTCTGAGTTTACTGGGGTAGCATGGTGGGGAGTTACGCATTTAGTGTTCTAACCACTGTCTCACCACCACCACATGACTATTGTGGGCTAGGGAGTGGTCACTGGCCAAGGTCTGGGAGGTAGACTCTGCCCTCCTCCTTTCCCCACATGTCTTTTGGGCTTTGAAGAACACACACACACATACACATGGAGGGGGTTACTGGCTGTGAGTAGGGAGGAAAGGAAGAGGTAGGTCAGTAGGTCAGACCCAAGGGGATGGAGCAGTGCAAAGAGGGGTGCGTTGGTGGTCAGTTGGAGTCACATTAATAGCCCCAAGAAGTTTTCGGGAGGAGTCTCAGAGGAGAGAAGGGGTGGTCTGGACCGATTCCCGCGTGGTTGAGTGGTCCCGGGAGCGTTCTCTGGCGCCCTCTGACGGGTGGATGCAGCAGCGCACCTGTGGGGGCGGGGCGTGCGGCCGCCACAGAACTCCCTTCCCAGGGCCCACTGGTGGGAACCGGGATCCCCGACCCAGGTTGTTCAGACTCGTGAACTATGGCCGCGGATCTAGCCAAGGAGTTCCTCGTTCACCCAGCGCCGCGCCCCGTCCCCAGCCCATGCTCAGCCCTGGCCTCCGCAGCAGCTTTCCGATGGCTCCTCCCGCAGCCCTATTTCCTGGCGACTGTTTCCCCGGCGACAGCGCGGGCGGGGCGTCTCTGCCCCCTCCTGCTGCGAGTGCCTGCGAAGCCCCGCCTCAGGTTTGGTGCCGGAGGGAGACAGGTCTGCCTGTGGCAGTGACAGCGCACCTCTCGGGTCCAAAGCAGAGGGATGGCCTACAGGGTCTCCCGGGTCAGCGGCACCCTACGTGCGTGACATCCCCTGCTGGGCCCTCACAGTCTTTAAAAAAGGAGGTAGGGAGAACTGGACTGCAAGACAGTCCCTGCGCCTAAGTCTTTCGCAAAGGGCCCAAGCGGCCTGACGGATTGGGGTCTGACCACAACGGGCAGGGTCTTGGGGGTCGCATCCATGGATTCCCTGGCAGCGCCCCAGAACCGCCTGGTAGAGCAGCTGCTGTCTCCAAGGACCCAGGCCCAGAGGCGGCTAAAGGTGTGTGGAGGGGAGTGGAATGTGGGTCAGTGTGCGTGTTCTTGCTGGTACCAGCCTGAGGGTTCCGGGAGGTGACAGGGGCTGGCAGGGACAGGGTCATTGGTGATGGGTACCGGGACCCCAGGGTGGGGGAGATTTGGCTCCGCTCTCTATAAATAGTCCCTGCTCTGCTGCTGTAGCCAGCCACCCCCGCTGGGCTGGATCTGGGCCAGATGGGCCCTCCCACCCACTGGTACTCTCAGGAGGGGTGAGTATTGAGGCCTGGGCCTTCTGCCTGTGAAAGGCTTTGGGTGTTTCAGAGGGATCTTGTTTCTGATACCCTCAGCCACCACTCAAGGGAGGATACCATGTGTGCCTCTGCTTTTGCCTACTGCAGCCTGACACCCCCTCTTTCACACATAGACTGTTCCAATCCCTGCAGAGTTCCTCACTGAACCTGGGCCACGGACCTGCCACCCTCTGACCTGCCTTCCCATCTCCCGGCCTTTGCCCACAGGCCTTCACCCCATTTTTCAGGCACTGAAACATCCTACCCCCTGGAACTCTGCCCTCTGCTGCCTCTTTGCCTGAGCCAGGTAGGTGACAGGCACTGGACCACCCCAGGAATGCCAGTGTGCCCCTGACCTGCCCCATCTCTGCCCCCAGGACATCGACAAGCAGTACGTTGGTTTCGCGACACTGCCCAACCAGGTGCATCGCAAATCTGTGAAGAAGGGCTTTGATTTCACACTCATGGTGGCTGGTGAGTGGGCTGGGCTCTCACATAGGGTGGCTGGGTTCACTGGCCCACCAGACTGTTGGGGAGGCCTGGGACTTAATCATATCTCTTCACTGTATCTATGGGCAGGTGAATCGGGCCTTGGGAAATCCACGCTGGTCCATAGCCTCTTCCTGACTGACCTGTACAAGGATCGGAAGTTGCTCAGTGCTGAGGGTGAGTGGGCCCTGCCATACACTGGCACCCAGTCACTATCCCCTGCGGCATCATCCCTCAAAGGGCACCCTTCCAGGGCTGGCCCCTCTTCCTTTTTTCCACAATGAGGATCTCCTGTTGAGTCCAGGAAGAGTGGCTCACATCACAGCCAGGGTCAAAACACTGGAATGGAGGAGAGCTAAGGTCCTGGCAGCCTGGAGTTGAGGGTGAGGATCAAAGAGGCCCCTCTAAACACTGCCCTTCCCCCTACCCCTCAGAGCGCATCAACCAGACAGTAGAAATCCTGAAGCACACGGTGGACATTGAAGAGAAGGGGGTCAAGCTGAAGCTGACCATTGTGGACACACCAGGCTTTGGGGATGCTGTCAACAATTCTGAGTGGTGAGGAAGGCCGGGCTGGGGATTTGTCCCTCCCCAACTGACCCAGTGGCCTGACCTCATGTGTCCTCTGCCCGTAGCTGGAAACCCATCACTGACTACGTGGACCAGCAGTTTGAGCAGTATTTCCGTGACGAGAGCGGCCTCAACCGAAAAAATATCCAAGACAACCGTGTACATTGCTGCCTGTACTTCATCTCCCCTTTTGGGCATGGGTGCGTGACTATTCTGGGGCCAGGAACTGCATGTATACCCACGACTATGCCTTCATTGCCCATCTTCCAACATGCCCCAACAACCAGCCCTTCCTGGAGCCTAACCCTACCCTCTCCCTGTACCACTTCCACACCCACCCCCACCACCCTGGCTGTCTTCTGCAGGCTGCGACCGGTGGATGTGGGTTTCATGAAGGCGCTCCATGAGAAGGTGAACATTGTTCCCCTCATCGCCAAAGCTGACTGTCTCATTCCTGGTGAGATCCGGAAGTTGAAGGAGCGGGTGAGCCTCTGTGGCAAAGGGACCTGGCCTGGGACACTGGGGCTGAGGACCCCCAGAGCGCTGACCCTGGGTACCACCACAACTGGCCCAGGGGACCTGACCAGCTCCAAATCTGATGGCTCATGTCCTACTGCAGATCCGGGAGGAGATTGACAAGTTTGGGATCCATGTGTACCAGTTCCCTGAGTGTGACTCAGACGAGGACGAGGACTTTAAGCAGCAGGATCGGGAACTGAAGGTGAGAATGCAGCCGCGGGGCAGTGGATGTGTAAACTGCAAGCCCATCCACACAGGCCAACCTGGTGGGAGTAGGGATCTTTGTCAGGGTGGTAGAGCTCATACTTCTAGGGGTTAGAGGCCATTTCCAGCCTAGCTTCTGTAGCTTTAACCCTCTGCGGTCAGTGGGTCTTGGAATACCTGCCAGTACCCAAAGGCACAGATGCTGGCCAGACCCCTACCCTGACCCTGCTCATCAGTCTCCTTTTCATGGGCTACAACAGAAGGGCCCATCCAGTGGTTACACGACTATACATGCTTTGGTTCTCAGAATTCTGAACTCCAGAGGGTAGTAGTGGCAACTTAGGAACCCCAGTACCTAGAGTGGGGCCAGGTGGCTACAAAGTCAGAAACAAGGTTGGGCCTTTGGCCCCAGCCAAGGTTAGCAGGAACATCAATAGAGGGGGTGTGGGCTCAGCTCTGGAGAAGGAAGGGGAAGGTAGCTAGATGGAGCGCTCCTGATTGGGGTGGGGAGGGGAGATAGATATCTGAGGGGAAGGCCCAGGGTGTACAGTGCACAGCTCTGGTCTCCTCCAGCAGCAGATAGGCCAGAGCAGGGATGGGGAAAGTCTGATGGTGATACTGGAGGAGCTGTGTTCCCATTGCCATGCACTCACACTAACTGGGCATGAGCCCTTGTACCAACCCCTCCCTAGGAGAGTGCACCCTTCGCTGTCATTGGCAGCAACACAGTGGTGGAAGCCAAGGGACAGCGGGTCCGAGGGCGCCTGTATCCCTGGGGCATCGTGGAGGGTAAGTTCAGACAGGGGCATCAGTATGGGATGGGAAGGTTCCCTTGGGCCAGTGACCCACCCACGCCTGATCCTGGTCCACAGTGGAGAACCAGGCACACTGTGACTTTGTGAAGCTTCGCAACATGCTGATCCGCACACACATGCATGACCTCAAGGATGTGACGTGCGACGTGCACTATGAGAACTACCGTGCACACTGCATTCAGCAAATGACCAGGTATGCTTCCCCAGCTCCAGCATGGACCCACATACCTTGCAGCCTTAGCCAAAACCAGGGCTGGTCCAAGTTGCCTGAATCTTGCCCCAAACCCCACCTTGGACTCCCAGTACCTTATGTCCCTACAGCCAGCCCAGAGGTGTAGAAGTTCAGGAGGGCTGGACCTTGGCAGTTGGGGGCCTCCCAGCAGCTCTGTTCCTCTCGTCCACTCCGCAGCAAACTGACCCAGGATAGCCGCATGGAAAGCCCCATTCCCATCCTGCCACTACCCACTCCTGACACTGAGACGGAGAAGCTCATCAGGATGAAGGATGAGGAGGTTGGTGAGATGATGAGAGGGGCTGGGGGTGGGGTTCCTCCCATCAGGGTTCTCACTCTGCCCACTCTCTGTTGTTCCCGCACCATCCCAGCTAAGGCGCATGCAGGAGATGCTGCAGAAGATGAAGCAGCAAATGCAGGACCAGTGACATGCCCGTCCAACCCCATGTGGGCACAGATCTGCTGCCAGTCTCTACTGGTCCTTCCCATCCCTGAACCCCAACTGGTCTGGACTTCACCCTGGATTTATCTGGATCTCCAACTGGCCTGGACATGACCCCAATCCCAGAGTAGCCCAGACTTGGACTATTCCTGACCTGGCCCAGAGTGGGAGGGTCATAGCCCCCAGCTGACCCTAATTTATTCTCAACATCAGACCCCTGCTATCATTTGTATATGCTTCAAGGGGCCTGGACAACAGACTCCACAACCAGCCCCCTCTGACCTTGGGGAAACTGGACCTAAATTGGGTGCAGATTCTGAGATTCCCACCCCCACACCCCACTCCCTACCCCCCGTCCACAAGGTCTGAGATTCCAGACTCTATACTTACTCTCAGGCAGAGACTAAGCCAAGGCAGAATATGGAAGCAGATCCCAAGGTCCTAGGCCTATTCTCCTACCGCACCACGGAGTTGACTTGGGAACTTTTTTGTGCCTGCCTCAGTGGGCCACCCCAACATATTCCCAACTCTCTGTTCAGGTGGGCTGGGTCTTCTTACCCTACCTTTTCACCCCCCCTCACTGGGAAGCTCTCTAGGCAGATTGTTTAGCCCAAGAATCCTTCCAGATTAAAGGAAGCCAGAGAGCTTCCTGCAGGGAGATTTCCAGGGGTTGAGTGACCTGTGATCATCTACACTGGTCCCCCATGGCTAGACCAAAAAGGTTGCAGGAGCAGTGGGTGATGGATGATCCCTTGCCAACCCTAAGCCTACACAGCAGTTCTCTGCCTGTCACTGGAGGTCCGTCCTCTTCAGCAGCACTGTTGCAGGGGTTCCCAGGTTCCAGGCCCCTGTCTCCCCATCCCTCCACCTGCATGACCCCCATCCCCAAAACCCTTTCTTCAGTTTTGTTCAGTTGTGAATGCCACATCCTGTCCTGGTGACAGAGAACAATGTTGGTGAACATCACCAGGGTGTCCAAGTGCTCCATGCGCCCCTAGAGGAGAGTGGAGGCGGAAGTCCAGCGGCCTGCCAGCCAGGGGATACTGCCCTATCTGGGACTGCAGAGCCTGTCGGAGGGGCCCTCTGGGTTATTTCTAGCAGGGAGGCTGCGCTGTGGTCTGTGTGGCAAGCGTGGGGGTCTAGCACGGCCTTAACCTTGTTATTCCAGCCAACGTCTCCCACTCCAGAGCAAGCCAGGCTATCAGCCTCTCGCCATGGGCTCTGGTGAGTCCAGGGTCTAGCTGGGTGGGGGTTGCTCCCAGGGACAAGCCCGGTTAGGAGACTCTCCCGGCGGTTTGCGCTAGGGAGAGGCCGGGGTCAAACTTTGCAGGAAGGGACTTGCAGCTATCACGCGCAGTGGTCTGTTGGCGAGGCTTTCGGACTCTGGGGGCGCGGGTCTCAGAAGCAAGTCCCTTCGGGGTACAGCGAACCGCCGAACTCACTGCGGCGCTTCCCTTCCAGGGCTGCACGGGGCGCTGAGCCTGCTGCTCCTGCTCCTAGCGCCACTGAGCCGCCCGGCCGCGGGCTGCCCCTCGCCGTGTCTATGCGCGGGGACGCGCGTGGATTGCGGGCGCCGCGGGCTGACGCGGGCCTCGCTGCCGGCGGCCTTCCCACCCGACACCACCGAACTGGTGCTGACGGGCAACAACCTGACGGCGCTGCCGCCCGGGCTGCTGGACGTGCTGCCGGTACTGCGTGTCGCACACCTCGGTGCCAACCCCTGGCGCTGCGACTGCCACCTCTTGCCGCTGCGCGCCTGGCTGGCTGGCCGTCCGGAGCACGCGCTCTACCGCGACCTGCGCTGCGCCGCGCCGCCGGCGCTACGCGGCCGCCAGCTGCCCTACCTGGCGGAGGAGGAGCTGCGCGCGGCGTGCGCGCCCGGTGCGCTCTGTTGGGGGGCTCTGGCGGCCCAGCTGGTGCTCCTGGGCCTCGGGCTGCTGCACGCGCTGCTGCTGGCGCTGCTGCTGTGCCGCCTGCGGAGACTGCGCGCCCGGGCCTCGCGACGCCTGTCGCTGACTGCCCCACTGATGGCGGAGCCGGCCGCGGCCGAGTCCTGAAGGAGAGGATGGCGCTGAGCGACAGGGGCCTGCAAACTCGATGGAACCAGCCCAAGGAGCCCTTGACCTAATTTGGATCCACCAGGCACAATCTTCCAGACCAAGCCCCCCCCTACAGTCCCTGGTCTACTTGGGCTCATCAGCTGCACACTCGCCTTTAGTGAGGGGGGCCACACCCTGTACTGCATGCAGACCTAAGGGGAACCACACCCTGTAATTTATGCAGGGGCTAAGGGGCAGGCTTCAGCTCAGACAGTGTGAATCCCCAGCCCCATCTCTCACTATCTCCCCTCCCCCATACACACACTTCCATTGCCAAAATTCAGTACTGAATAAACCCTTCTCCTCTGACCCCTCTCTGCACCAAGGACTTGGGAATCCACCCGAACTGTAGAAAAGCTCTGAGAGACTGTTCTATGGGAAAGGTCACATATTCATTCAACCAAAAAAGCCTCCTTCAAACCTGAGTCTCAACAGAAGTTCTGGGGAGACTAGGAGAACCTGGGAGACGGTGGCCACACACTGTAGAGTTGTGAGGACAATCTGAACAGGATGACACTGGACATTGAGAGCACTGGAGATGGAAGACAGTGAAACAGTGGGGAGTGAGGACATAGAGAGGATAGAAGACGCTGTGGGACAGTGAGGACAGTGAGGAATTAGGACACTAGGGACTGTGGGGACACATTGAGCACAGTGATGACACTGAGGAATTAAACATGGGGCAGTGAGAACAGTGGAGGTTGTGATGACATAGTAGGGACACTGAGTATAGTGGGATATTATGAGGTCGGGGAACAGTGAGGACACTGAGGAATTAGGACTTGGGACATTGTGGACAGATTGAGGATTCAGAACACTGAATGTTAAGACATGGGATGATGAACAAACAGGACACTAGGGCAGAAAGGACAGCGCTGGCATAGCATAGTGGTGGGAGTCAGGGTATTCAGTATGGCAGTTTCGGGGGGTTAACGAGAAGGTTCTGAGGATAGTTTAGGATATGAGGTTTCCCTGGTGGCACTGCAATGCCACACATGGCAGCTTCGAGGATATAAGGGGTGAATTGGGGAAGGTGAGGCTGGCCAGTGATTCCCCTGGAACTCCCTGGATCATCTGAGTGAGCAGCTCAGTCACCAGAAGATAGGTACCTGGAACCCAGGCCAGAAAACAGCAGAAGGTACCTGCAGAGAGAATGGACCATTGCAAGGTCTATAAAGTTTGTCACTGCATGAATGTACCTCTGATACATCAGACTAGTCTGGTCTCTCCCACACCAGCCCAGCAGCCAGGGCCTAAGGATCTTCATTGGAGATACAGCTGCTAGCTGCTCACAACTGGGGTCCAGCTCTGGCACTAGTGTGACCCTCTCCTGGCTGACCCTGAAAACAATGAAAGTTGCTCTCTATGGACTCCAAACAGGACCTCTGAGAGGAGCCTCAGGCCTGGGCCCTGGCTGCCTGGCACAGGAAAGTCCCAGCCCCCTACTGGTGGGGTGGGGGAGGCTGCCGCTGACAAAGCCTTTGTCCTGGCCTTTGTGGGACAAGACGGATGGCCCTCCAATGGAACTGATGCTATCTCAGGGTTACCGGTCAGACATCAGGCCAGAGCCACCCCCTCCTTTGTGGGCAGGTGCAGGGCATCCGGCTCATTGTGGGCTTTGGCTGACTGTCCGACTGTCCATCTGGCCTTGTCACCACATCTGGAATGTTAGCCTCCTTTGTATAAATGAGCTATCCTCCGGTCCCCCAGGGGACAGCCCAGCAGCCCCAAAGCCCTTAGTGGAATCAGTGGTAATAGTCATCGTCACAGCATGGTACATAGGTAACACCATAAACCCAGTCCCCACGTTAAGGGGAGTTCCCCCTACTTTCCAGAGGATGACACCAGGTTCCAGAGAGGAGTCACCATGCTGGACCCCAGAGCTTTCTCCATGCCTGGACTGGAGCAGAGTGGAGACCAGGCCTCTGGGAACCTCTCTCTCCTCACTGAGGCCTTTGGGGAGCAAATGCAAGGTCCAAGAAAAAGTGATATGGAGATCCTACAGCCTTGATCCTGACCCCAAACTAAGAGAAGGAGGTCCCCTGAGCTATGGGATGAAGCCACTGCTTGTGAGTGTATGGTCTACTGCTCACTGTCCACAGGACTCAGGCCAGTGTCTGACTGACAGAATGGGCACAGGAGCCCAAGGGGCAGAACCCACAGACAGAGCTGGAGCTGTGAAGGAAAGAGGCTGGCATTACAATGTGGTCAGACTTAAGGAAGGACTTCCTGCCCCTGATGGATGGGCCAGCTGAGCCCACGGTTCCCCAGGGACCCCTTCCTCTTGCCAGTTCATCCTGATTTAGACCAGCTCCTGACAAGTTACTAACCCCAGGGGAGTGCTTGCCTAGCCTTGCTCATCTACCATCTTTGGGTTGCCTGGAAGCCTTCAACCCCAACTCCTGACCCTGAACTGACCCTCAATGACTGACCCTGTGGCCTCAGCCTCCAAAGAGTGTGGGGAAGTGGACAGTCCCAGCTCAGTGCTCCTGAAAGACTCTGTGGGGGAGGTGGGATGTAACACCCCTCCACCGGGCTCAAGGGCCTTCTGTGCCCCTCCCCCAGCATTGTCCTTCATTTCATGGATAACCACACCTGTCCCAAAGCCTCTTACCCACTGACATGATGGTCCCATTGTGGCCTCAGACTCTTTCCACATGGAAACTCCTTGGGGTCCAGTTAAGGTCCTACCTGGACCCTCACACCCAGACTGGCTAGTTCCGGGTTCCCTGCCCTGCAGCCCAAGGTCTCTGTCCATCTAACCTCCCTCTGCTCCCAGGACCCTCAGTCTAAGATCGTGGCGCACCCTTCCCTATTAGGTCAGGGTCCCCCTGGGGCATGCACTTCCTGTGATAACTATGTCCTCACTGCTCAAGGGTGTCATCATCGGGGAGCTCCCAGGCCCTGTCCAGTCCAAACACATAACACAGGACAGGACAGTGTCTAGATACATGCCCTTGTTGTCCTCAGGGTGTTCAAGCCCTATACAGGGAATCATGCAGTCACCTACCAGATGCAACCCTGGGGGAAGGCACAGCCTTGACCCGCCGTGTCCTAGATAGGTGCTGCCAGTGGGGCCAGTCTCCCGGCTCTGTCAATTCAGTTCTCCCCTTGCGCGCTAAGACACCATGAAGACACCAGGGGGCGCTCGCGGTCTGCGGAAAACGCCTGGGTGGGCGCGCGGGCCGGCGGAGAGGAGCGCAGCACAGGGAGTGCGGACCACCGAAGTCCGCCCGAAGCTGAAGCCAGGAGTTGGGAAACTGGGTTGCCCAGGCTGGTGGGGGCCGGATAGTCAAGACGGACAGGCAGGACGCATCCCCACCCCCGCCCTGTGAGCGAAGCGTGGTGAGGCGAGAGGCTGCAAACAGACGGGAGGGTGAGCGTGCCCCTTCCCCGCCCCACCCCCTTCCTGGGCTCGCTGACAGCCCATCAACCGGGAAGATAAGGGAGCTCTTCCGCCCGGCGAAGGGGGCCATCGGCCCAGGTGCTCCCTCCGCCTTCCCGCCGCCCCTTTGCTTCGTAAACACTTATTAAGCCCTTGCTGTGTGCACTGTGAAGAGGGCAGGGCTGGCCTGGAAGCCCACTTCTGCCCTGGATGTACAGGCCCGGGGAGGGCACGGAGCGGGCAACCGCGGGGCAGTGGAAAGGAGGGTCCATCACCTCCCGACCAACTCGGGTCTCAGACTTGTGCGGGTGTCCTGACTCCCCTACTGCAGCCTGGGGAGAGGGACGGGGCTCAGAGCTAGACTGAGCCTTTGTGGGCGGAGACTTGAATGGGGGTAGGGGGTGGTGAGAGGGGGGCCCAGAAGAACATGGCCTGGGAAGGCCTAGGGGGCTGAAGGCCTCGTCACATTGAAGGGGGTGGGCGCACCACCGCTCAGACGGAGGAACAACATTGGGGTGGGTGGTGCGCCCTGGGGGCCCATAGCTCACTGCACCGTCTGTGCCCACCCCTGGCGTTTCCGATGGAAACCCGGCAGCTAGTGATAAATCACCAGCTCCCGCCCCTACCCACCCAGGCAGCAGTGGGGAAGGAGGGCTGCTTGTGACAGAGACAGTCTGAGAGACAGGCCTGGAGAGGGAGAGACCACAGGGAGGGACAAAGGTGACTATGAAGAGTTGGCCACCAGCCGCATTACTTTTTTCAGGGTGTCTGGCCTCCCACCCCCAGTACCCCATCTGGAAACCAGCTGAGAGCCACCCTACCCTGGCTGACCCCCAACAGGTAGGAGAAGGAGGGAGGGAGCAAGGCCTTAGCAGCTATAACTCCCATCTCCTGGAGGACCATAAATCAACAGGGGGCTCTTGGGGAGCACAGAGGGGGGTCTTTTGGGTCACTGGTCCTGGTGACTGTGCCTGACCTTAACAACGTCCCTTCTTCCTTCCAGGCCTGGGAGGATCCCAGTGCCTATCTCTTCGACTCCCAGACACTGCTCAGCCTCTAGAACTGTGTGCACTATTACGGGATGTGCACTTACTGCCTCATCTCTGTCCTCAGCAGAAGACCCCTGGACTGACCACAGGGAACTGGAGGTCAGTGGTCCTCCCCAATGAAGCCCTCTTGGGGAATCTACTGTGTCCCAGGGGCAATGCTGTTACTACCACCCCCACCAGGGTGCTGAGGGTAGTGGACAAAGGTTACCCCCACCAGGGTGCTGAGGGTAGTGGACAAAGGTTACGGAGAGATGGAAACCCCCCTCTACCAGTGTCAGCGACCCCTGGGGGCAGTCCTCTGTGAAGGAGGCTTGAGAGAGTCATGGGGATGCTCCTGGCACCTGTGGGGTGTGTGTACACAGCATCCCCACTGACCAGAACCCCCAGTCTCAGCCTGCTAAGCAACCCCAGTCACAGGAGTCTGTCCTACAATTCCCTCAGGCTCAGCTGGTAGAGACAAAGACACTTGCACCCAAGTCTTTCATGAAGGTATCAAAGATCAATAAGGCAGGGATGGGGGCCTCCTTGGCTACACCGACCTTCTAGTTCTTGGATTTCTGGGCCTGAGGGAGGTGCTGAGTGTACTGTCTCAAGTGGATGTGCCTCGTAACACTCACCTGCCAGGGCAGGTAGGACCTCCTGGGGCAGTCAGACGAGGGGCTACCTCTTAGGGGTAGGTTCAGCATGTGAGGTTCAGGGGTGCTGGGCTCTGCCTGGGGGTACAGGTCCTTAATCCCCAGATCTCCACCCAGCCAACCCCACCCATCTCCATAGGAACTGGCCAACACTGGGGTGGTCTTGCTAAGGTAGGGACTGTGGGTTTCTCTAGGGATTCACCTAACCCTGTTTAAACTTCTCAGGCAAACCAAAGGCCC